CTGGTTTTCCTGCATTTTTCCCGGTTTTTCATATTTGCTGAGAAAACTCCTGAAAAAATCGAAAAATGACCTCTCTAAGGTACTTCCTCAGTCGGATTTCTTTTTAGAAACATTGGTATCACTATAAATTGGAGCTAAATGTTGTTGGTAGAAAATTGTGCACAAAAAAAAAAGTCGTAATATATTATAACTAATACCTACATTTCTTATATTTTCCCGATTTTCCTCCGTTTTTTTTTTCGGTTTTCCACATTTTATGAGAAAACTCTTAAGGAAATCGAAAAATGACCTCCTTAATGTACCTCCCCACACCGATTTCTTTTCAGAAAAGATACTTCACTTAACAATTGGAGCAAGATTTCTGATATAAAAGTTACGCAAATAATAAAAAACAAAAAAATAAATAAATAAACATCTTTTAAACACTTTGTTTTACTCCGTTCTACTTAGGATCTCAAAGCTGGTATGTTTTTTTCTAAAAACTAATATAAATATTTTTTTTTAAGTATTTTAATTTAAAATGTTAACGAAAATCTAAAGAAACATAGCGTTCCTTGAAACCCGTTGTATAATCTATCGACTATATTAATTGAGATACATTAAACGAATAAAGTAGGTACTTTTAATATTAAACACATATATTTACGAAATAAAAATGAACGTTTAATAAAAATGAAAAAAGAAAAGAAAAATTTATTGGAAATTTAATTTTCCATTTTATTTATAGGTCAGTTTTTTTTTTCCAAAGGCATTATACTGCCGTTAAAGTGCATCGCTTGCCTTTTTTTTTTTTAGGGCACTTCAATACAGACATTATTATAGACATTGCAATATAATAAGTATATTTTAATAAAGGGTATTTCATTATTACAGGGTGATATTTTTTCTCGTAAACTATTTCTTTATGAAGGAATTAACATTTTTCGTGGGAATATTCTTTTCGGAAAATCAATTTTTATTCCATAAGCTAACCATTACGAATTTTGTTTCAATTGAAATAATGTAATATTTGATTATTTAAATGTTAACAATTTCCATTTTCGTATATAGCTGAATAGTTTTTAAATTTTTTGAAAGACACTATGCTGTCATAAAATGTCATATTATTATTTTTTCAAACCATAACTACGTTTGTCATCAAAATGAATGTATGAATGGCAAAACAATTGCCAATTAGTTTAATTTTAAAGGCGGCCTAATTGTTAATTGCCAAGAAACAAGATAGCGTATAAACGTTTTATTTGCAATCAATGAAAATAATAAATATTATATCCAGACGCCACCGCACAAATAAAAATACAAATTTAACATATCATGTTACCATAGGGAATAAAAAAAAAAAAACCGCCCTCTTTAACCGTTGAAAATTAAATCTGTACGTATTGTGCAAAATTACATATATAAAACAAGGAGCTAGGTAATACTGCTATTGGGAAGGCAGAACACATACAGTTATTTTATTCATATCTGTAGTCTGTATACAACGAAAAATAATCCCGAGCGAAGTACTAATTCTGGTTTTGCCATGTTGCAAAGGTAACCCGAAAATCAACATAAATTTTACAAATGATTGTCAGTTTTTCACATTTTTCGATAAAACTACAGGAAAATTCATAAAACGACCTCTTCGATATACCTGTTAGTTAGAAAATGCTACGAGAATGTTTCGATAAGGATTTTGATCGGAATGAGATTTCCGGTAGAAAAGTTGTTTACAGACACAATATATAAAACCAATATATTATTGGGTTTGCTCAGAATCTAAAATATTATAACCTATAGTATCGTAAATCAACAACGACGTTAACATAATGTAATTGACCTGTTTCTAATACTCGTAACTCAATGATAATATGAAGTCGTTTACAAACATTAAAATCATCAAAAAAAAAAACATCCTAATGTGGATTATATATTGTTTATTATTGTTATGCTGTAGTATTGAATGGACTTTCGACTAAGTCGAGATTTAAGACTACTGTAACCAGATCAATTTAAGCTGCACCGCGAGTCGAAAATCGGTTTCGAATGCATGATGAACCCCGTTACCGAATATAGATTATTATAATAGCAATATGACAAGATAGTTAGATTGAATAAGTGCTATTTTTGTCAGCTCTCGATGTCAGCTCTGCTGCACAGTGCGGCGACGGCGCCATTTCGAAAACTGCAGACTATTGACGATATAGGTTGGGCGTATATTATATTTTCTTAATGAAAACGTTTTAGTAAAATACACTTTATTGCGTATATTATGTTTACCTATATGCCTACAATTATTATTCATGATTATTACCGATTTCTCCGGAGGAACTTTGTCCTTACGCATAATACCATTATCGGATGGTCGCTGTCACTTTGCAACCGGTTGTTTGTATATTATTATAAACCGCCTAAAACAGTGACTGGCCAGAGTTTGTGTCTACCTACCAGTAGTTTTTGCGTTATATTTCTCTATATTGAATAACAAATATCGTGATTTATGTTAATTTTAACGTTTGACACAGGCAAAAATCGTAATTTTGTAGACGTTGGCGCCAATGGTATTATTAGTTACCGGCTATGTATTTTATTATTCATTTAGGCGCAGTCGACTGTGTTATTGTACTTATAATAATTTTGTCAAAACCTGTTCAAATAAACTACCGTGGTAGACGTGATAAATTAGGATTATTATCTCATTTACGGCCTGCATATACGTACGTTTGCGGTGCGATATTACTTGAATTTTTTACATAGGTATAATAAAATATAATATTTATTTATCACAGAAAAAAATTCGAAACATACGAACTAAAGACGTTGCGTCGTGTTTTCAATTATATTATTGTGAAAACCGTGTTCGAAAACCGTATGATATAAGTATTTGGTAGACAAGTTTACGACCAAACGACGCACGTGCAATACGTTTTGGTTACCCACGACAAATTATTATTGATAGAAAATTTTCCGATTTTTTTCGTTTTCTTATATTAGTTATTGCTTTGGTAACGGACGTATTAATATTATCGAGTATGTGTGTGCATTAAGTACAACACGAACATTGCAACGTACCTTGCAGTTTGATTAGATATGCTTAGGTGTATTATACTCGTATTATAGTAGGTATGTTTCAACTGTTAACGACGCGTACGTCGCCGGTCTCCGATTTCATTATATTTCATCGTTTGGTCGCAGTAATATAATTGCCTAAATAAATCGCCCGTCGATTATTAACGGTCGTATTAATTTACAGTGCACAATTAATTAATACGCGTTTCCGCGCTCCTTATATAAATAACTATACCTACATTGGATTGCGTTGGACATTTTTGCTTTTCCGCGGCGTATAACTTTCCGAATCCAAAACACAGCCAACCCTCCGGTATAAATTAAAAACTTTACGAAAATAATTTCTATTCGTTTACTCACTTGTCTTATGTACACGCCCGTCTACGTGTCAATTATTCGTATTTTGATTCGGGGAAGTTTACGGATTAACTTCACTGCTGCAGAAGGATTATAAAACAATGGGGCGGATTTTTTTTTTTTAATAATAATTATAACATTAGCACTATACGAGCGTTCGAGAGATTCGTTTAGAGCACAGTATACATGTACAATATTATTAACATTAGAGGACGACGCCAGAGGGCGGAGTGGACCATCTTGGATTCTGGCACTTGCATACGAGCTGATGATCTTAAACACCATACGGACCAGTCAATATAGTTCTGTCAACAATGTCACGTGTCAAACTTAACATAAGTGTTACATACACTCGTAACATTATTTTAATATACTTTTTTTTTACATTGTAATTTCGAGATACTCTGGGAAAAAAATATTCGAATACATATTCTAAACCTCTAAGGTATAGTGAGGTACACTAAGTGCTATAAATTAGCCCACAAAAGTAATAACCACACCCCCTCCCTCATAGTATTATAGATAGTGTCGTAAACCACGTAATTGGTGTTTTAAACAATCTGCAAAAGTTAACAAAATAATTATATCGATATAATTATACCTTTTTTGTATACATATATTTAGGTACTTAATATGTAAATTTTAAACACTTTGGGAAATTAAATTAAATTTAAGTTAGGTTTTTTTTTTTTTATTATTATTATTGTACGAAACGAAGCGGTCCGCGCATATTAATGCGTACCTCTATCTACCTAAGAAAAAAATAATGAGGTTTTTTTTTTATTTTGCACGAAAAGATAAACGATTTCGTCAACAATAATCATAATAAAATGTATAGGTACGCGAGTCTCGTTTTTTGATCAGATTGTATTAATCAAAATAACTATTGTAACTACCAAAGCGATCTACCCGATAGAAAAAAAAAGGCATTTTAATTTACATTAAATTTATCGCGGTGTCTAATTGAATGCAATGCCCGATTGATAACTGAGTGATTAGATAAAGACCGCAAGTGTTGAACATCTAATTTTTAATTTCTTGTCAACGATATTCTATAAACGATCTTTACCCGAATATATTTCTCGTTTTTAAAATATATCCACACTATAATAAATTGCATTACGCCCGGGAGTCCGTAAGCGTACGCGTGATGTACGAATCAAAATTGATTAAGGCGATTATTTCTATCGATATTAATTATTTCTCGTCAACGGACAATTTCTTCGTTCTTAAACGGTTTTCTGCAGAGACTCGGAGTGCTTCCAGCAATGGACTTATACGGTGTTTTATTATAAAGATGCATTTTAAAATATCTGAATAAAGATAGGTAGATACTCGATAGAATATAATAAAGATTATCTAGGCGACGATAAAATAACAATAAGCGACTTCTTACTAGAAAAAAATTTAAAAAAAAACTGAAATCGACAACTCGGATGGTCGATGGGAAAAAGCAAAGGGAAAAAGCCTACGATTTAACCGGGCGATTCGATTGTTTATCACGGATAATTAAATATCAAATTTGTTTTTAACCACGTTTATCATTATAAACGTGGTTAAAAATGATAAATAATGCCAAATATATTTTTCCCATAGACAAAACACAAGTACACGACGCTAGGTCTCGCGTGTTTTACACGGTTTTCCGACTATACGGCATTATAGTTTTACGATGTCGTTCAAAACCGCGCGCGCCTGAAAATAATAATATTCTACGGGAATAGGTAGGCTTTTAGTACACGATTAATAATGCACACGCGAATACGCAAAATATATTCCCCACTGTATAGGTGTAATAATAATAATGATAATAATATTGTTACGTATAAGTACTATGAACGTGTACAGGGTGAACAACACAACGCAACTCACTCCGCACTATATCGAAAAGTATAAACTTTTTTCGGAAATTATTTTTTTCGAACGTTTAAAAAAATAACATTATAGTGTAAAAATGTTACGTTACTGTTTTGTTTTTTTTTTTAATTATTTTACGCCCTTGTTTTAGGGGGTGAAACCGCTGTCTGCATTAGATATTCAAGCTGCCGCAATCTACAGGTACTGGAAATTTCATAAACAGATCGAGTACCTATTAGTTAGCCAATAATGATGGCGATAGAAAATAAAAACCGTAACATTTTGGTGCTACTCGTTTCTTATAAATTATCAACAAAATTAATTTATACTTTTTACTACAAGTTTATACGTTCCGTGACAACGAATGTCTTATGTTACAAGTTTAGCACCCTGTACATCTGAGCATAATACTATATTGGAAGTCGGCCATTAATTCAAAACCAAGATAAGAAAACGGTTCGTACAATATTTTACGCTGTTTATGCCAGCGCATCACACGCGCGTCGTATGTAACAATAATATTATGTACCCCACGTACGTTCTTGCGGAAATAAATTATTTTCGTTTGTAAATCGAATCGCGGAGTACGAACGGGTCTTCTGCAACAATCCCGAGCGTGTGGATTTTAGTGGATATTAATCCGTGGTGACATTTCAGAAAACGCCGTTCGTTATAGTCGGCGTACAATAATATTATAATAACATTGGACACGTCCCGTTTTATTCAGCTGTCGTAGAGAGCTATAGAAGACATTTTTTTATAAAAAAAAATACCAACTAGTTACGAAAATACTAAAAAAATAAATGTCTATAAAGTTTTCGATCCGAGTAAGATTTTTGATAGACAATTTTCCAACAGACATTAAATAAAAAAAAAAAAAAACATAATAGTAAAATCATAATTTCATAACAATATCTATAATGTAATAAAATGATTATTCTCGCGACGTAACGTGCCTGTTCCATATTCACGTTTATCGGCTTATACATATTAACTAACATTCAGTGGCGTGGCGAAATACGTTTTTTGGGGCCTGTGCCTCCGTCAAATTCGATGGACGTGTGTCACGAGTTATTGGAGGTGAAAGATTTATGGAATACGGACTACTATAGAACAGTGAGTCGGAAGTAATAACTAAAATAAATTTACAACTGATTTAGTTAATTGTTCATAAAAGGGGCAATAGAGGGGCGGTGGTAAATTCAAAAAATGTCTATGCCACACACACAAATAAAAAAAAAAAAACGCCACTGGATCACATTAATAACAATTTATAATGTTTAACTATTTAAAATTTAATAACTCGTATATATTCATAGCGTATTAACTACAAAAAAAATTTCCTTCGAACCGGATTTGAACCAGTGACCTATGGATATCTGTGAATTCGCCACTACAGTCCACCGCTCTACCAACTGAGCTATCGAAGGATGTTGAGTAGTGTGTGAATTAAGCCATTTAAACAAACGTGGTCTTATGCACTTTCACTTCGAGATACCTTGTGATATTCGAATCGACATTCGAATAGACTATATTATAGAATAGAATAATTATGCACGTATGCGTGTGTATATTAGTCGCATATCATTAATATTTTAGTTCGCTCAATGACACGATTTGATACCAGATACCCTGTATAAAATGTTTGATTGGCGTGAGATTTCTGACAGAAACGTTGTTTATAGACATAAATAAAATAAATTAAAATAGACGGCAAGTTTAGAAGGTACTAGGCGCGATACATAAGGTTATTAATTTCAAATCAATACGCACCGATAAATTATAGCTAACGAAAAGCAATTCCGAACAAAGTGTTATCGGTCAAATTTTTTAGAAATTTACAATAATTTTCAGAAAATTTGTCAGTTTTTTCCCATTTCTTAGATGAACTAGAAGAAAAATTAAACAACGACCGACTCGACACACCAATTAAATAATAAATAAAAAAATGTTACAAAAAAGTTTTTATAAATTATTTTCGATTAGCGCAAAATGTATAGTATTAAAGTTGTTTCCAGATAGAGAAAAATATCATGCACATCGTAATGTAGTAAAACCAATACATATACAGTTACCGAAATACGAGTACCTACTGAACAGAAATGTTAAAAACGTCTTACCGACTATTTACAAAACACGATGTTTAATTTATTTAGGTTCCTATACGTCATAAGCACAATGTACTAGGTTACCAATGACTTTTGAAATTTTATATAGAATTATAGTTTATTGTTTAAAATGCGTTTAGATGCCCGGGAACATTACGCGACGGCTGAGTGTGCTTTCCTAACTTGTTTTATTTGATTTTTCATTCATCGTTTTCTTTGTGTCACTTTTGAAGGAACACAATTTGTTACTTAACAATGGTTTGCTACTGTATATAGAGTATATACATATAATATAGTATACAATGTATAGTAGTAAACAATAAACTCCGGACGCCACGCCGCCCGGACGGGAGGAAATCGCAAAATATATTTTCGTCATTCGTCATTATGTCCCCTCGCCTTCAGCCATTTTTGTAACAAATATATTTTTATTTTTATTTTTATTTTTTCGACTTTATATTCGCCATCAAAATACTACAATAAACATATTATGGGTGTATACAAACAATTGAAAATAAACTCGAAAATAAGACGTGTTTGTTTGACTTGTTTTACTCGCAGAGATCAAACAGAATCAAATGCAATTAAATCATATTAAGAGGTCGTTTAATAAAATTTTTTAATTTTTGTGTATACCTATGGACCAGGGATGGCTAAACGGTCGATCGCGATCGACCGATAGATCGCGGGGGATTAAAATGTCGATATTAATTTTGTTAGAATTTTTTTTTTATGTAATAGTAGAAAAATACAAATTGCTGATAATCTGTTTCTTGTCATATTATCTTTATTCTGTTGTAAATTTATCAAATAATGCAATCAACAGAGTTTATCCCGGCAATTGTATGAACAATATTATTATGTTAGTCTTAATAATAGTGTAATGGAAAACATTATTTAACTACACATTTTAGTTATATTATTTTGTACGTGTATGTGTACTTTTATGGCTTTTATTTGGCTACCCGTAATATATGTATTTTAAAATTCAATTTCATACAGATTTAAAAATAACCCAAATTATAAATTCATACGCGTTGAAGTGATTTTAGAATTTGTATACGATACACACATTTGAGACAACGAAATTCTTTAAAGTATGTTATATTAATAATTATTAGCAATTATTTACTCGAGCTAGACGGTGTAAAGATATTAGTGGTGGAAAAAATCCAGATTTGCTGAAATTCTGGATTCTGGATTTTCAGAATCCGAAATCCAAAAAATATCTCTTAAGTCAAATAATAATTTTCATCAGAGATAATATTACTAAACAAAAATACATTAAACAAAATTTAACCTAACTATAATTAGCATAAAAATAGGAATAAAATTAAAATAAAAATAGTTTTTTTTACTAGTTTCGAGATGAAACGATGACTTAACGGCCCGAAGTTTTAATACGTTCAAAAACGCTCGCGATGATACATTAAATCTAAATATTTTGTTTGAAACCATCGTCATTATAATATAATATTATTGTTAAATTTGTTTTGCATCGACGATCGAGTAAACTTCCAAAGGAAATAAAATACGAACTACGTGAATATAAATTATAATTCATAATATAATTTTGTTACACGCGTTTCTATGACGGCGTCAGTTTAAAGATAAATCGAAATCTATAAAACATTTAAACAAAGGAATAAATGTTTGGAAAATGTAATTTTTTCTAAGTTAGAAAATAAACGTAATTAATATTAAACGGTTTGTTTATAATGTCGAATTCAATTTACTGTGTATGCCAATTTATATTAAATTTAAATTAACGTTTTGGCGTTCAAATTCACTTACTATCATATATTATTATAAAGTTGTTCAAACTATTTATTCGGAAAAAAAAAACAATAATAAACGTGCCATTCAAAATTAAACTCCAATGCAGTTAATGTACTGCAGAAGCCGCCTAGTGGCATATTTGAGGGGGCGGATGATTAGGACGATCGCCCATTTTCTATTGATTACTAGGGGTTAATTAGTTTGTATAGGTATTTGATAAATATATATAATTATTAACAAAAATAAAATTTATATTAAAACCACTCGTTCTCTTACTCTTACTATAATAATCAAGTTGATATTAGTGAACGAGACAAAAAAGTATTAACAAATAAAGTTTATATGTTTCAAACAAAAACTTTTTTAGCATACTTATCATTGAATGTATGCAATTTTTTTTTTTATTTATAACATTTGCATAGTAATAAAAGTTTAGTTAATTTTGTTAATTTACATTATCCTTTTCGTTTAAAGTTCAAACGAACAATCGATGAAACAAACACTAGTGACAATGGTACGATACTAGTGCGTGGGTCGATAATTTGTAAGAAATGAAAAATCATTTGCTGTGAAGGAATACTGAGTAGAAATAAAACTACACAACAATAATTTTTCTTGCACAATATTAAACGTGACATCTTACCCCCTCCCACCTTCCCAGACGTACGTCTTGCCGCTTTCAACCGCTCGGAATTTGGAAGATTCAGCTATAATAATAATACGTCTCTCGTTGTTAATAATTAGTCGACGTTTACGTGCAGAAAACAATATTATCCTCGTATAGTCCGCTCGAATCCGTCAAAAGTCATTTATACTGACAACCAGCCATCATATAATATATTTTAGGGATACACTTACAGGGTGATTCATTTTCCGAGCAGATGTTCACTGGTTATCTTGAAAATTATATTTTTTTGTGGATGGATTTTCTTCTTGAACCATAAACACAGTTCTGAAACTGTTATGATACATTGTTTTCGCGTTTTAGTTAAAATCTCGTTACGTTTTTATAGCCAATATCAACTGTTGATACTATACAAATTTCACGAAAT